TAGAACATCAGAACATCAGAACATTAGAACATTAGAACATCAGAACATCAGAACATTAGAACATCAGAACGTGGACCTGGGTCAGTCTTCAGTGAGGACCACCAACCTGTAGATGTTGGTCTGTAAAACAAAGAACAGATGTTTGTAAAGAACATCCTGTCCAGCAGGGGTCAGTGTCAGGGACCTTGGACTAACGCACCACGTTTCTCTTCCAGGCCTACGCTCTCCAGAATCAGTACGGCGTTCCACACTCGGAGGTAACGACCGCCCTGACGTTCTAATGAACCACTGTTCTACAGAGAACCCGCTGTTCTGTGACGGGAACAGGAACAGAAACCTGAACAGGTTCTGTCTTTGTTTCCTCCTCTGTGACTCAGAACAGAGCAGTGGACGTTCTCACGTTCTCTCAGGTTCCACGTTGTCGTGGACACTGGTTCACTGTAGCTGTTTGTGTTGCAGCTCACTAAGTTCCAGCAGCTGTCACTGCAGCAGGGCCTGAGTCCAGTCGTCCAGTCTGCTGCCACCATCATCCCTGGTACGGACACCAGCATGTCCCCTCTGTCCCCTCTGTCCCCTCTGACTAATCTGTCCTCTCATTGGTTGCTTCTGTCCTCTTCCATCAGGGATGGACTCCACCCCCCCCACGTCTCAGGAGCTGCTCATCCCCAACGACGTAAGGACCGTCATTGGTCTGATTTGTTTTGTGTTGACGTCCACAGCCAACATCAACTGACCCTGACCCTGACCCTGACCCTGACCCTGACCCTGACCCTGACCCTGACCCTGACCCTGACCCACGGTCCACACCGAAACATCCCAGAAGATGTAGTTTATTACTGCACAGTACTGCAGTACTAGTCCAGACCATGGTACTGCAGTACTAGTCCAGACCATGGTACTGCAGTACTAGTCCAGACCATGGTACTGCAGTCAGTACTAGTCCAGACCATGGCATGGTACTGCAGTACTAGTCCAGACCATGGTACTGCAGTACTAGTCCAGACCATGGTACTGGTTCATGGACCATCGTTTCTCAGTTTCTTCTTCTCTGCGTTGATTATTCCTACAATTCTTCACAACAGCATTTCTAAAAAGGCCTTTTCTGCCTCCAAGTCCCTCCGACCCCCCG